TAGACCGAGTAGTAGGGATAACTGCACCCGAAAGCTTGCTAAGAACTTTTTTCCAACTTCTCGGTTGGTCTAATAAAAGATATCACATCTACTCAAATAACCTTGGTTCTCTGAAGTAGTGCATATCTTGGCGGGGTGGGGATTAAAACATTTCCAGTGAAGGAGAACCAATCACATTCCTTGTAAATTGTTCTAGTTGTTATTTTAGTGCTAAAAGTTTGCAACTCATTTAAAGCTGCAGTTTGTCTTGCTTCAGATTCCAGCCATTGGATGTCACATTTTTGGTAGGCTAGGGAGTTGTTTATTATCAGACATGTATTTCTTATGGGCTTTATAGGCTGTGATCAAAGTAACCCTTTAACCGTCTCTTTGATAAGCTCAACAGATTTAGCTTTGAGAGTCTCTTACTGCAAAGCATATCTTCCAGTCCTTTAATCGTTACCATAGTTCTTCTCAAAACACTCTCCAGTTTATCAGTTTATCCTTCTTGAATTGTGGGTCACGGAACTGTTTAGAGTAGGGAATGGAATAAAAGGGAGGAAAAAACCACAACTCCAGTCTTTCATTAAACTGAGCAGAAATGTAAAGTAGATGAGCTTAATTTACTATTCTACTTATCCAGTCTTACATCTATGCAATCCTGTTATCTCCAAATAGAGTAACAACTTTTAAAATCACTTTCTCAGAGTAGAGAATCTGACTCCCATCCTTGATCACGAACAACACCATCTCTTCAAAGCTATTTTGCATGGAAAATAATTCTTGTTTCCAATTTTTCACAGGGTTCGTCTATTACAGGAGGTGGCCCAGTGGTAAGTATTTTGCCATCATTTCCCTAGAGCAATTCCCTGAAAATTTCCATGCTTTGAGAATAGCAGTGAATAAAAATGTTCTTTGGTTTGTATTTACCAGATTATTCCCTGTTGCTTTCAAGAGAATGAATAACCTCTCTTATGTTCTGTGTAGAGTGCAGCTGGGAAACAGTCCCGTCCTGGACTTCTGCTGCTTTTCAGCATTTTGAGTGCCTTTATCATCTCTTCTTCAGTTATGTCAAAGTGGCTTATATGAATTTCTGAAGACATATGATTGGAGTCCTAGATATTGTAACATCTGAAATATCAGATTATCTTATGTATAAAAGGTTTGACTTGAATGTTATGGATATGTCATGTGTCTTTGCTATAATGTTATGTATAGCTAAAATGCCATGCACTTGATTAGTTTTACCTTCATTTGAATCCGTAATGCACAACAGTAGTTAATTTTTCAGTATTTTTGGCATCATTGGAAGAGAGCATATTATGCCGTAGCTGTATGGGTTTTTTTATTATTATTATTTCTTATCTAGGAATTTGATTAATGCTTCATTTAAATTGGATCTAGTCACTAATACACCCACATGGGAGATATTTATTAACCCAGAAAAAATATGAATAACAAATTGTCAAAAGTGAAAGCCCAATGGCTCTTTCTAGTTGTCATTGCATAAAAGAGAGCCCACACAGCTTTTGGTAAAAGGCCTCAGTAGGACAAAATTAGAAACAAAGCACAGCAATTTTGAAATGTCATTATCTATTACAGAAATTAAGCCAGAGGTCAGTGTGAATTTAGTAAAGCAGAAATTGTCACAGCAGTTAAATTTTGTATAGTTCCTCTCTGCCATAAAAATAAATACTTTGAAGGGAGACATCCTGATGCTTATAAACAGTGGATGTCATATGTTTCAATCACCTGAAAATATCTATAGTTTTCAAGAGAACCATAACAGGGAATACAGCCCAGAAGAGGATGATGACCTAGGAGCTTCTGAAGATCAGACTTTTTCCTTTGGGGATAACTCAGAATGTAGCTCACAAAACTGATAGCCTCACTAGATGATTACCCACCCTTTTGACAAATATTTTGCCTAAATTGTGATAACTTTAGTAAATTTAATTTCCAGAATAATATGGAAATCCATAAACTAGTATTAATATACAGCAGACTTAGTTACAGAGAAATATAACCAATCTTTGATTGTCAAGGACTTGCCTCAGTTTTTTCCTCCGTAATTTCCTTTGGAACTCTATTGGAAAGTGTTGCCTTTGAAAGGCCTCTCAGTGGTGCTCAGTGTATGCACACTAAAAAAATGCAGATGACTTCCAGAAAACAAAAATGCTAGCAGTTTAAAAATGTAGTCTGACCACATTTTGTTCTCTAACAATAAGCTCCTTTGGGACACACAGTGTTATTGCTTGGACACCCACAACCTCATTGGCCCTTAAACAATAATGACATGTTTAATGCACTGTTCTTAATACATGCATAGTATTCTTATAGCATGGCAAGTTTTAAGCTAGTGGCAGGTGTTAACAAGGTGCATCCCTTTCACACATTTTTAAATGAATATATGGCCTATTGAAACTGCATGTAAAAATAAAGCTTAAAGCTACTTACAACTATACATAGACTATACAAATATACTTTGAAGCAGATACAATGAATGAAATTCTGTTGCATTGAAATCATATGATTTTAACAGGGTCAGGAGTGCATCCAGTGTTGTCTTCTACGTTCTCTACAACAACAACAACTAATAAAATAATACTTGCAACACATCCTGAGGTCCTTACACAGGCAAAAAAAAGAGTTTTGTCTGAATAAGAACTTCAAGATTTGTCTCATAATACTGATCTTAAAACCATTATTACACAGTATAATGTTCTCTAAGACACGGTATACTCTAGTGTTGTTTGCATATATTGCACTGCTTTAATAAATTCATCACTGATTTCATACAAAAAAATTGTTGGCGTCATTCATTATTTGTGCCTTTATATTGACTTAAAATATGTATTAAATTATTTTTCAGTGACGTTCTTGTGTACATGATAGCAAAAAATGTGGGTAGATATGATAAGGAATAGACATAATGGAAATGCCACAATTGTAACCATCCCTGTTTCCACTCCAATTAAAAGGTTTTTTTTAAATATTTACTGTATAGATTTGGGGACAGTTTCTTTAAATCAATAGCAGGAACGAAAGTAAGATGGGCTAGTTCAGTGTTCTAGGGAGAAGCTCTGCATTGAAACAAGATGGAAAGGGAAAGGTTTTCTGAACAACATTGTTCCTTAATATAGTAAAATTCCTCCTGTACTGTTAGAAAACAGTGACTTTTCCTGTGATTCTTCACGGTGTTCCATAACAGCCACTGGAAGACTGGATTCAAATTCCTGTAGTGACTTTGGAGTTTTGGGCTGCTGCTTCTACATGGGGAAAAATGTCTAGTTCAGACTGTCCTTTGTATAGGGTGAGCATCAAGACTGTAACTAGAAAGAGAGAGAAAGGGGGAGCATTCATGTAATGAAGAGGACTATAGCAATCTGTGTTAGTTCACCATTGCTCCAAGAATTTATTGCAATTTGTATTTAGTGATTTTTATAGTATATTTTAGAAGCATTGAAGTGCTTTACAGAATTGTAAACACTATACATGAGGGTCGTTTCACTATATCTTTTTTTAGAAGAGAGCCATTGTAACAGAATGTACACCTACTCTAATGAGTTTTAGACTGGAAGTAAAGAATATTGGAGTTGATTGAAGCATGGGGAATTAGGTGGGCTGAATGTAATTACCCAAATTGAAATTGGACCAAAAAACAAGAGCTTAGATTTGTACTCCTGTAAAAAGCCACTACGTGTTGTTTAATGACCAGCACACAAAAGACAAGTGCCTCAAATGTGACAGCAGGTGAAAAACACTTCCACATGGAGCTGGGGAAGGATGGACAAGTTCTTAAAGTGGATCAAGTCAGTGAAGTTCTAAGGATTCCAAAATGCACCCCAAGAAATCTTAATGCCAGTGCTGAATAGCTGCAGTGCCAGTGTGGATGTGGATACACAGATACAATTCTGTGCGATTCCACAGCACCTGCTTGCAAACAGGCATGGCAAGCCTCAAGCACACAGGGCTAGAAACCCAGAGTGGACCCTGGTCTGAGCTCCTGGACCTGTGCTTCGGGCTTGCCATGCCTGTTTGCCTGGCACTGTAACCTCAGCCAAGCAGCAGCCCATTTCAAAGCAAAGTGTCTTGCCCTCAAAGCAGAGAAGAAAGGATAGAAGAAGGAAAAGGTGAGGAATCCCTGTCTACAGTCTACTCTCCCCCATGGAAAGCCTGCAACATCTACCAGTGGATCTGTGGCTCAAGGATTGGACTCTTAAGCTATCTCAAGACCCATCAACAAGCCGTGGTAGAGATCCTTGGATTGAGGGATTGCTGACAACACACACAGTGAGAACAAGAGGTGTTTACTTCACATCTGATGTGATCCCTGTCTGAATCTTTGGGCTTTGTTACAGGTTCATTTTGGGCAGCTCGGGGAGCTCTCAACCCCTGGATTGCTCACACAGTAAGACATGGCAACTAGTTTTAAGCATCCTTTAGGTATCTTAAAGTTACGCTGCTCCACGGCAGGTTTATCTCTGACCCACATTACCCAGCTTGTGCTCCACAAACATGTGGCCAGTCCCCATTGAGAAGCCACTGAAGTTTCAGTTCTCCAGCATCCCAGGAAGCTGTCCCCCTTTCTCTCCTCCTGCGGGTCTGGGGACGACTGTAGCTCCTAGTCAGGGCCCTCCCTGCCAGGCCTCCAGAGGCAGGTCAGGGCAGTGCAGCTGGGAGAGGTTCTTAGCCTGACTATGACTGCTCTCAACCCAAGCTAACCCAGATCAACAGCTGAGAAGTTTAAAGCACAGTAGATGTGGCAGGCGTGGTTCTTCCAAGCTTGAGGTCGGTGGGCTCCGGCCAGTGCTCTCGCTTGCTTGTTACTCAGGCTGAACAATTTAAAGGGCAGACCCAGTGTCACCCATTTGGTGCATTTGTGGGCCAGGGTTAGCTGGGCTTTTCTGGCTCCTGGTGGAGCTCCCCTCCAGCAGCCCCGGTGTGTGGGGATGTGTTCAGATACCTCTGGCTCCCCCAACCAGTCTCCTCGGGGTGACAGATCAGCTACGGGCGGGGCCGCATACCGGAGGCCTGTCCCCAAGCAAGACGCGAGCCCCTGCGTGGGCCTTTAGCCCGGCGGGGAGCGAGCAGGGCCGGCTCATGACAGGGGGCGACATCCTCGGGGCAGGGGGAGCTGAGGCTGACCCCGCCCGGAGCCAAGAGGCGGCGCCCGGTCCTCGCGGGGCTGGAGGCCGCGGCCGGCGCCACGCAGAGCCGGAGTCGGGCCG